TGAGGTAAGTCAGAAAGAGAAAAACAAGTACCAGATGCCAAGGCACATATATGGAATCTAAAAAAATGGTTCTCATGAATCTAGGGGCAGGACAGGAATAAAGACACAGATGTAGAGAATGGACTTGAGGACACAGTGGGGGAAGGGTAAGCTGGGACGAAGTGAGAGAGAGGCATGGGCATATATACACTACCAAATGTAAAATAGATAGCTAGTGGGAAGCAGCTGCAAAGCACAGGAAGATCAGCTCGGTGCTTTGTGACCACCTAGAGAGGTGGGATAGGGAGGGTGGGAGGGAGGAAGATGCAAGAGGCAGGAGATATGGGGATATATGTATACATATGGCTGATTCACTTTGTTATACAGAGGAAACTAACACACCATTGTAAAGCAATTATACTCCAATAAAGATGTTAAAAGAAAGAAAGGAAGAACTTTGGGGCTGTTGTGAAGGAAAGTCTGACATGTAAGAGTTTTTCTGTGGGGATGGAGTTGGGAGGGATGAATAAAAGAGAGGCAACTGAGAGCGGCAAAAAATGAAAAGTTAATTTTCTCCAAGGAGACTCTGCCCTGCCCCTCTGGGAGAGGTATGTCCACTGGAGCTTCAGACTGTGGTGAGGTGAGATAGGAGCTGGTAAACTATGGCTGTGGGCCAAATACAGGCTGCTGTCTGTTTCTGTAAATAAAGTTTTATTGGAACACAGACATGTCCATTTGTTTCCCATTTTTGTAAATAAAGTTGGAGCACCTCCATTCAAATACATTTTGTCTGTGGCTGCTTTTGTGCTACAATGGCAGAGATGAGTAAATCTGAGAGAGATTGTAAGAGCTCATTCAGTGTAAAACATTTAGTATCTGATCCTTTACAGAAAAAAAACTGCTGTTTTTTTTATAAAAACTGTTTTTTTTTTTAATAAAAACTGACGGTTATAAGGGAAAACTCATTACTTCACCATGGTGAAACATTTCTTTTGGAGATTATAGGCTACCTACATCACACAGCAGTGGAGAGCTAACTTTAAAGTATTGATGAAAATGTCTTTTAAACCATTCTCTAAATGCTGTACACAAATATTAGCACTTCTTGTTTAAATTTATAAAACGCTGGACATACCCCAGCCCTACTGAGTCACCCCCATGGCAGAGTCTGGGAATAGGTATTTTTAAAAGGCATGAACCCACAATGAGGCAAATTTGGGAAATGCTAGACTGGCACACACCAAGTCTTCCCAAGATGCTTATTGAATTGTACCAAGAAATTGAGATCACATTAATTGTGATAACAGTCCGTACCATGAGCTGCTGACCATAATTCAGAAGCAAGTCAAGGGTTCATCATTTGAAAAGCTCCTTGAATTCCATTAAAAATAACTTTCCATGTAACAGTAAAAATCCATTTACTGTTGAAAAGGAGAAAATAAAAAGTTTACATATTGCTTTTATCCAGAGACATGCTGTTAATCTGTTAATATTTTGATGTACACACACTGTCCTTTCTGGATTGAATTAGTATAATTCTATTGAATTCTTAAAATACCATGTAGTTATTTTGGGTTACATTTGTGGGAAGGGATTTCACTTGAGTTTCAGATTTGTTATCCTCTTGGAAGTGTTTAGATAAAGAGCCAAGAAATACATCACTGCTCCCATGGGAACAGAAGAACTGGTGAATATTATTATTAAAGCCTTGAATTTATGTGATCAGGCTTGGACAGAGCACATTTAGACTATTTAGATGTATTCTTTTTGTTTCTTTCTTGTTGTTGTTGTCATATTATCCTTTAATGATATCTTTTCCTTTGTATCTCTTTACCAACTGGCATCACCATACCACTGTTGATGTCATGAGGATGCAGCCACTGACATTGCAGCCCACACAATGGGTGGTCCCCAGGATTGCTGTAAAGGTGCTGGAGAATTCTCTGGATAAAGATCTATGCTGCATCTGTCAGGTGCTTTTGACAATATCATAAGAGGTGATATTTCCATTGTATTTAATGTATAACTGCCGTGTTCTAGCTCTGGTTGGTTCGCCAAGGGCTTTTATGATCAGGGCAGAGGAGGAAGGTGCTACCTCATTCTGGGCCTTTCCATTCTGAAGGGTCAGTTTCACTGGAATCCAGATGCTTCCAGTTATGGATTTCCTTGGCAATGTCCTTGTCACCACCAGCTTTTCTGAAGTCACACCCATGGGCTGATTTGGGAGCCAGTGCAGAATTGGTATCCACTTCCCCACCAGCACACACAAGATCCACAACTTCGGTTTCCTTGAGGTTGAATTTAGGTGTCACGGTAAAGATGGCTGGTGTCGGATGAACCTGGATGCTAACAGATCATGAAGAAAGTTATAACTTTGTCTCCTTCACTCCAAAAGTTGAGTGTCAGGCATCGATAATGAAACAACTCAATTTGATATTTCATATACAGTGCATCCTGGTATAGTGGAAATAGCATGAACTAAAAATTGGAAAACCTGGATCTTATCTGGGTCATTATTCCATAATGATCATTTATCCTTGAACCTTTTACTTAAATTGTTTTAGTCTCAGTTTTCTCATCTGTTAAATAGGGCTGACAGTATTGGCCATGTTTATTTCATAGGATTATTGGGAAGATGAAGATAAACTCTTTTGAATAAGACTCTTTCTGGGGCTTCCCTGGTGGTGCAGTGGTTAAGAATCCTCCTGCCAATGCAGCAGACACAGGTTTGAGCCCTGGTCCAGGAAGATTCCACATGCCACGGAGCAACTGAGTCCACAAGCCACAACTACTGAAGCCCGTGCACCTAGAGCCCGTGCTCCACAACAAGAGAAGCCACCACAATGAGAAGCCCGTGCACTCCAACGAAGAGTAGCTCCCGCTCGCCGCAACTACAGAAAGCCTGTGCTCAGCAATGAAGACCCAACACAGCCAAAAATAAATAAATACAAATAAATAAATTTATTAAAACAAGAGTCTTTTTAATCAGTTTTAATGCAATATGTAAGACGATATTATTAACCATAAAATAACATCAAACAGTAATAATAATTCCTGGAAAGATTTGCAGTTAGAAATGCAAATAGGTTTATATGTGAATGTTTTTAATCATCTGAATCTATGCCCCTTATTACTGTGGATAGCATGACAAATTAACCTTTTATTCATTAGGCCAAGGAAACCTGCTAAATCGTTTTACCTATTTAACATTTTTTGAGCAGTTTAAGGTTTACAGAAAAAAAAAATGAGTGAAAAGCACAGAGTTCCCTTCTATTCCCTCCCCCCCCACTTCTCCTCCCCTATTTCCCCAATTATTAACATCTTGCATTAGCATGGTACATTTGTTACAATTGATGAGTCAATACAGACACAGTCTTATTAACTGAAGTCTGTAGTTTATAACTCTTGGTGTTGTACATTTTATGGGTTTTGACAAACATATGACATATATTCACCATTATAGTGTCACACAGAATAGTTTCACTGCCCTAAAAATCCTATGTTCCCTATTCATCTCTCTCTCCCTCTCTTTAAACCCCTGGCAACTACTGATCTTTTTCCTGTCTCCATAATGGTGCCTTTTCCAGAATGTTGTATAGTTGGAATCATGCAATATGTAGCCTTTTCAAATTGGCTTCTTTCACTTAGTAATATACATGTAAGTTTCCTCCATGTGTTTTGTGGCTTGATAGCTCATTTCTTTTTATTATTGAATAATATTTCATTGTCTGGATGTACCACAGTTTGTTTATCCATTCACCTATGAAAGGACCTCTTGTTTGCCTCCAAGTTTTGGCAATCATGAATAAAGCTGCTATAAACATCTGTGTGTAAGTCTTTGTGTGGGCATAAGTTTTAGTTCCTTTGGGTAAATACCAAGGAGTGTGATGGCTGGATCATAATGGTAAGTACATGTTTAGTTTTGTAGGAAGCTGCCAAAGTGTCTTTCAAAGTGGCCACACCATTTTTCACCCTCACCAGTATTTGGTGTTGTTAGTGTTTTGGATTTTGGCCATTCTAAGAGGGATGTAGTGGAATATCAATGTTATTTTAATTTGCAATTTCCTAACGACCTATGGTGTTCAGCATTTTTTCATATGATTATTTGCCATCTCTATATCTTCTTTTGTGAGGTGTCTGTTCATATCTTTTGTCCATTTTTTTTTTTTTTTTTTTTTGCGGTACGCAGGCCTCTCACCGCTGCGGCCTCTCCCATTGCGGAGCACAGGCTCCGGACGCGCAGGCTCAGCAGCCATGGCCCACGGGCCCAGGCGCTCCGCGGCACGCGGGATCCTCCCGGACCGGGGCACGAACCTGTGTCCTCTGCATCGGCAGGCGGACTCCCAACCACTGCGCCACTAGGGGAGCCCTGCCCATTTTTAAATTGGGTTGTTTTCCTACTGTTGAGTTTTAAGAGTTCTGTTTATATCTTGGATACCCATCCTTTACCTGGTATGTATTTTGCAAAGATTTTCTCCCAGTCTGTGCATTCTCTGGATACTTGTTTATCTTTAATTATTTAACCTCAACATCAACATCCAACTCTTTTAAAGTTCTACCCATCTTCAGGTTGATAGCTATTAAAAAGTTTGAACAGTTTGAACTTTCCCTTCCTGTTTACCATTGACTCAGTTTGCGGTCGGTTGCATCGTAGATGGGATCAAGTCATCAAGCCCAACAGCAGCTCAACCTCAGACCTCACGTTCTTAAGCCGAATCATCGCTGCCATCATCTGAGAGTCGGCTTGTGGCCTGTCCAAGTTGGCTGGGTCCCGGGGAGCTGACTGGAGCGGCCGACATTTTTGCTGACTGGAGTCATGCTATCTTTGCCAGTTTGCTGGAATAGACACAGACACCGATTGGGTCACGCTGAAGACATTCCTGTCTTGTGAAGCAAGTCTGTTTGTATTTTAGGTTTGCCAGGACTAATGAATTAAAACATTTGGACTCTCCACGACTTGCTGTTTATCAATGCCTCTGACAGGAGGAGGGATTTCTTTTGCTCTTGCTTTTTCTAGAAGCATGACAACATCCTGGCTGTTGGAGAGACAAGGAAAGGAGAGAGGGGTCGTGGAGGGAAGTACAACAGGGAGGCCCCGTGGGACGCCGGAGTCTGTGGGACAGCAGGTAGCAGCGAGCCGCCCTCCCAGCTGTCACTGCTCCTCAGATTGTCAGCGGCTGCTATGCGGCAGGTGCAGCCTGCTCTGCCACTAGGTCTGTACTCCACAAAGGCAACGACCGGCCAAGGCAGTGGCTGGCCCTGGATTACACAAGTGCAGACACTCAACTAAGTGAGGTAAGGCGACAGGTGTGAAAACCCAACTAAACGCTCAGAGCACCAGCAACTTAACCAAAGCTCTGCTACCACCGAGAGGAGGAATCAGTGGCCCATTTTCCCAGGCGGTGTGATGAAAAGGCAAGTTGGTTCAGGGGCTCTTGTGGCTGACACCGTGTGGAACTCAAAATCCACCCAACTTTGCCGCCGCCATCCTTTGGGAGGCGGACAGATGTTCTCTGTTGTGTGGAGGGGAGGGACTCTAATTAGCTGTGTTGATCAATTCCATTTCCCGTGGCTGAAAACCCTGCCAGAGATCTATTTACAAAATCCCAGGAGGCAAACTTCCACCTCTTCTGGTTTATTTCTTGGTGCAGGAGAGCATTGGGAGATTTAGCCAAAAGAGGAGTGAAGCTTTTCATCCTCAGATGTTACGATAAAATGGTTTGGTGATGGTACAGGGCGTAACAATAAGATTTTTTTCTTTTGGCTACAACTTTAAGGGGTTTTTTATTGTCTGTTTTGTTAAATTTGAGACAGTCTGTTCTATTCCCTAGGAACAGGTGGCTAACAAGATGGTTGATTCTAAGCAGACGAGACTACACAGAAATGTATGTCAGAGCTAAGATAAAACAAATTTTGAGTCAAGTAACAGTGATTTTATATTACCATTTTCTTGAGTCGAATGTTTCACATTAATACTTCTTTTCTAACTTAGAATGACATGACTTGGAGTGCTTTATGGTTCATTGCTACTTGTAGTGTTCAATGAATGGGCCAAATATGATTCTAACTGGGTGATGAACAGTTGCTGGTTTTTCTCCAAAGCTATACTAGGTGTTTAATATAAGCATGTTCTTTTTTCATATACTGGTGATAAGATGATTCCATATGTATGTATGTCTAAATATATATATTATATGTATATATGCATTCGTTTTGGCTCTATAAATAATTGTAAAAACAAAATTCAGTGTTCTAGACACTATTTTTAGATAGAGAAAAGTTATGGGAAAGAATCAGAAACCTTGCTGTGAGAAAATGTCCTTCTAAAGCAGTTCCCAGAATCTCGCTAAGGATGGTTAAAGAGATGATTTATATTTTGCCATTTTTAGAGACATTTTCTTTAAAATATTATTCAGAGTTTTTGGTTTACTGTCTCCATGAGAAGGAAAGTAGAGGGCTTAGGGGAAAGCATGACTAAAAATAGAAAAGTTAAATATATGGATTTAAATGACAAAGATAACTTGTGTTTATAATAATATCTTTTCCTAGACCCATTGAACAAAAATTATCAAATATCTTGGTTAAATTATTATACAAAGAAATTTTCATGTATTTTCACCCACCCCAACCCATATTATCTGTAGCATGCTTTTCCATTCATTCTATCTTAGTTTATTAAATGATAAATTAGTAGGTGATGTAGATCATCAATAGGATGTTTTTAGGATGTGTCTTTTGCTCATATCACACAACCTTAGAAATGTTTGGTAGATTAATAGGTAGTTAATCAGATATTTAAAGCACATACTATTCAGAATATAACCGGGGGATATTTTAAAATAGTCTTTGGTATTCTTGAAATAATTCCATGATAGGTATTTGTTACCACTCCCAGATCAATAATTCAGATCCAATTTAGGCTTTTGAGTGTGAAAAGATGTCTGTTGCCTTATTAAGACTTCTTTATCCCCCTCAATTAAAAATAAAATACTATATAAGACCTCAAAGGGCCAGGGTTGGACTGGTCAGTGTAAGGGATACTAAAAAAGTGAGGTGGGTGGAGATTTTGCCCCATCTTTTATATTTTGTTCTAGATGTATTTCCAAAGCAAATGTTTTTATAAGCCAGAAAAAGAATTATAAATGGGACAGGTGTAGGGAAAGCAAGCTAGGAGCTAGGAATATCTTTAAAATAAGAAAGCAGTGCTTACTAACTTTCCCCTCTAAGTTCCAAAGGCCTCTGAGTATTCGAGGGGTAATGTTGGGTAAAGTGACAATGGCTCTCTCTTGTCATTACAGCTGGAAGACCAGGAGGAAGGCCAAGGCTCAGGTGCCCACATGATCAGCACAGCCAGGGTACCTGCAGATAAGCCAGTACGCATTGCCTTCAGCCTTGATAATGCCTCAGGTATGCTCTGCTTTGAGGCAAAGTGTTGCCTCCCCAGCCTGCTGCCTTCTTACCATCATTTTTTCTAGTTCCACAAAGGGCATTTAAAAATGCACGCCTGGGGACTTCCCTGGCAGTCCAGTGGTTAGGAGTCCGAGCTTCCGCTGCAGGGGGCAGGGGTTCGATCCCTGGTCAGGGAACTAAGATCCTGCAGGCTGTGTGGCCAAAAAAAAAAAAAAAAAAAAGCATGCATGGGGCGAGCCAATGGTGGGGAGAGTGATTCTTCATCATGCATCGTTGGAGAGTGGCTTCCAGAAATGCCTCTGGTGACGCTTCCATCTCCAAACCTTTGGTCGTTTGAGCACATTTCTTCTTCTTCTTTTTTAAAAAAGTATTTATTTATATTTATTTAGGCTGTGCCGGGTCTTAGTTGCAGCACTCGGGACCTTCCTTGCGGCATGAGGATTTTTAGTTGCAGCATGTGGACTTCTTAGTTGCAGCATGCATGCGGGATCTAGGTCCCCCACCACAGATCAAACCCGGGGCCCCTGCATTGGGAGCACGGAGTCTTACTCACTGGACCACCAGGGAAGTTCGTCTTCTTATTTTTTTACTTTTTCCATTTTAGTTTTCTTTTATTATAAAATTCATGGAGCTATAACAATTTCTAATGAGAACAAATTATGTCATTGTTAAAACTGCATGAGGAAATGTTTATTAAGAGCTGGCAGTTGGCTAGGTAATATAAAAATATCACTGTCCCTGTTCCAGCAGCATTTCCTGAAGCCTAAGTTCCAAATGCTGGTTTCTCACTGGTGCTCCCACACTTCCGGCTAGTAAACAGACTTCAGCGGGAGTGATGAATGGGACAGGTGAGGCGGACCTTCTTGAAATAGTATGGTCTGAGGTGAGGCTGCCGTACTTAGAGCCCTTTGTCATGGCTTCCTTCAATGACCTCTTAACACACATACTCAGTTCCACCGTCTTTGACAGGGGACCTCAGGTGATGTGAGGTCACAGCAGTGAGGAAGGGAAGACTTGGATCTCTTCCACTGGTGTCATCTTTTGCTTTCAGTCTAATGTCATCTGTTAAAATCACATAGTCATACGCTTAAACAACATTATCATTTAAACCTTGCATCTTCTGAGCATTGATTCCCTCCTTCCTTCCTTCCCTCCTTCCCTCCCTCCCTCCCTCCCTTGCTTCCTTCCTTTCTTCCTTCCTTCCTTCCTTCCTTCCCTCCTACAATGCTCCTGTAGGAAGGAATGCTTTAAAAAGTAATGATTGAAAAGGGACAGGTTCCTCCCCAAAATAATGCAAAGTAAGGATCTGGGCTCTGTGAAGTCTGACACTACACAACCCATTTAGACTTTACTATACCAAGTGATTATGGTGGTGACACCTCTGCCCTGGGGTTCCTGGACTATGCAGCCCCCAGTGGAGAATTCGTTCTAGAGTAGGAAGAGGTGAAGCCTTGACTCTTCATCATCTGTTCTTCCAACACTCTTCCCATGGCCGCTGTTATATTATATTCCCAATCAAGGTTGCCTTGCAAGACAATGATGAAGGGGAAACCTCCCAAAAGGCAAACCAATCCGTCTCAACTAAGAAATGACAACTGCCACTAATTGCATTTGTCTTTGCATTAGATCTTCACTTATATTATTTCTGATCTTTAAAATAACCATGCAGTGTAGGCATTACTATTTCCAATTTGCAGAGACAGAGATCAAGGTCCAGAGGCCCCACTGTTAGTGAGTAACAGAGTTATGATTTAAACTCAGGTCCCTAGACTGGACTGTCTGAACTCTTCATTATCCCATCATGCATCTCTAGGAAGAAAAAGGAAGCTATGTTTGTAGGGAAAGAGAGTATGTAAGAACTCTCTGTACTTTCTGCTCAATTTATCTGTAAACCTAAAACTGCACTAAAAAATAAAGTCAATAATTAAAAACAAAACAAAAAAGAAAAGCTCCTTCTTTTTTTTTTTTTTTTTTTTGCGGTACGCGGTCCTCTCACTGCTGTGGCCTCTCCCGTTGCGGAGCACAGGCTCCAGATGTGCAGGCTCAGCAGCCATGGCCCACGGGCCCAGCCGCTCCGCGGCACGTGGGATCTTCCTGAACCGGGGCACGAACCTGTGCTCCCTGCATCAGCAGGCGGACTCCCAACCACTGCACCACCAGGGAAGCCCGCTCCTTCTGTTTTTACGCATTTCATAAATGCAAGATTTTGAGGAATAATCAGTGCTTGAGTGGCTAGCTCTCAAGACAGACACATGTAAACCCAAAATCCCAAGGGAGAAAGAAGATGTACAATTTTCTTCCCTGTGCTCGTGTCCCACCTGAGCAGGACAAGTCCTGTCGCAATCAACAGTGTTACAGAAAAAATCTAGTATATAAAGCTTGTTTATTTCAAACAATATTATTATATCATAATTTTGGGCAACACAAATAAACATATTGGTCCCTCATATTCATTTTAACAAAATTTAATTTATGTACAGAAAAGAACCATGGAGAGGTGGATCTTCTCTTTGGGCTACATGAAAGACTCTTCCTTGAAGTACAATATGTACAACTTGTAATTAATTTGCCACCATCCTTTGAACCCTCTTGGCCCCTGACTGGGAATTCCTGCATGTTTTTCATCAGTCATTTTCGATTGGTTTGTTCCAGTCTCTTTCAAATGTCCCAAGAATGCCCACTTCTGAAATTCACAGTTTTTGATACAGTAGCTTCAAATAAGGGTTGTCATTTATTTCAAATTAATTTCTGACTTCCAGTTCTACAGAAAGATGCTCACGAAGCCTTATGAAGAACCTTCTAAAATTAAATTTTGTAAAATGATCAATGTGTCCCCATATCTCTCGAAAGGGCATCTAACAAGAGAATCCAAGACAGGAGCTGGGGTTCTGTGTTTCTCCATCTTTCTTAAAATAATCACCCAAGAGCACTCAACAAAAACATATGTTCCATGGCCCCACTCCTCCTGCAGTAGGCTCGGACTGAAGCCCAGCAATCTGTATTTTCCCATGCACCTGAGCTTACAAGTGCACAGAAAGATGCCTTGCAGATATCTGGGGACACTCCCTCTGAATTCTCAAATAAGGAGTGTGTGGAGTGTCACACCAAGCAACACTTGCCATCATACACACTATGCATGCCTTTTGAATTCCAGTGCATGTGGTCCATAGACCACACACTTGGGGGAAAACAAAGGAAAAATCCTAGACTTTTACAATAAATGGGAAAACTAAGGTAAACTTTTAGGGAGTAATTCCTTATTATTGAGTCCATGATAAAAGGAGATGTCTTTGCCTGTGAACGTTGACTTGTTCATTTCTTACGAGCCTAATACAGTGCTTATTCCTCTGGTCATGTTAGGACCATTTCTTTTCTTTTTTTTAAATTTTTTTGCATATTTATCTGAGACAATTTAGTGTAGAGGTTAAGGGAATATGGCTTTGAAATCAGTGAGCTGTGGTTTCTAGATCCATTTCCATCACTGTTTGTATGATCTTGGGTAAGTCACTCAACTTTGCTGAACTTCAGTTTCTCATAAGATGTGTATAGTAATAACTCACAGAGTTCTTGTGATAGATAAAACATGTAGCATAGCACTTGACATAAATTAAGGACTCAGTTAGGCCCTGTGTTTATGATGATTGATTCTGGAAAATAAAGGAAAGTATAAAGCATGAAGCAGCTTTGTGTTTCACCTACATCTCACACTTCTACTTCTTGTCAATGTAGAGTTTATAGTATAACTGAGCTGTAATTATTTAGGGAGTAATTATCCAGTTGCTGGATTGTGGGTACCTCTGCTTCTGCTCTTAGCAGTTAGCTGAGCTTTACTTAGTTCCTATATTTCTAGCTTTCTGCCAAAGGCTGGTGATATGTGCAAAGAGAAGTACAATATGATCTCTCCTGTGGGGAAAAATCTGTCCCCCAGAGCAGATGGGAACAGCTTCTTGGAAGATGTAATAGTCATCCTGGGCTTGAAGGCGGGTAGTGTAGGAAAGGTGCCATTTCTGGATACCACGTATAAGAAAAGGAAGCTACACATCTTCTAACAATTCTTCTTCCTTTTCCCTTCAAACAGAAAGCGTGAGCAAAACCTAAGTCAGGAAGAGCACAATTTGTTCAGGAAATACTAAAACTCTCTTCAGCTGGAACAGAGGTCTGAACTGTGGAAGAGTTCCTGCCATTTACTGGGCCCCTCTCTGAGCTGGGCATTGTGCTGGAGTCTTAGGTAGAATGTCTATTTTAGATAGCAGTAGACTAGAGTTACCAAGTCAATCTTAAAAGTTTAGTGAAAGAGTTTGGATTTGATCAGAAGCAATAGAGTTTCAAGAGTCCTTGAGCAAGGGAGTAATATGATGAAAATGATGAGTGTTCAACTGAGATAGTCTAGAATGTGGGGAGATGAGAGAATGCAAGGGGCTTTTTATCATGGTACACAGACAAAGTGATGAAAGCCTGGATTAGAGAATGGAATGGGGTGATTGAATTCAGAGTACATTTGGAAGGAAGGGTTGAAAGGACTTGGTGATAGACTGACCTGGGAGATGGGGAATTGATTATTGATCATTGATAGCAGAATGAGCCACAAGTTTTCAAAAAGACTAGGGACCTCTAGGGGCTTAAATAAAGGAAGCAAGTCGTTAGGGAAAAAAAGCCTTCTAAAATACAATCACCATTTCTAGCCTACCATTAGAACCCGTCCTTAAGTAACACTTAGCTAGCCATAACTCCCAGAGGCAGCAACGCCTGTCTTTTATTTTTTAAGAATATATTTTATTTAATTAATTTACTTTTTTGGCTGCACCGAGAGGCTTGCGATATCTTGAGATCTTAGTTCCCCAACGAGGGATCAAACCCGGGTTCTCGGCAGTGAAAGCATGGAGTCCCTAACCACTGGACCGCCAGGAAATTCCCAGCAATGCTTGTCTTTAATAAACTATGATATGACTGGTATTACCTCCAAACTGGGAATTCCAAAGAGTTGACTTTCTAAATTG